CAACCAAAGAATCGCTCTCGAATAAGAACAGTCTAGGACAATCCGCCTTAGATAGTTTTCCACACGAATCGTCTATAAACGTTGTATTTTGACATGAAAATTTTCAGGTGTATGCGCATCTTTCTGCTATTTAAATATTGTAACTTGTTCATAGGTACCCTCACAGTTCGTCTGTAATCCTGAGAACAGTGTCAAGGGGGCAGGTGGTGATGCACTTGAGGCGTGATTGATAGTGGCTGATTCAGTAGGCCGTGTTGCGAACTCAATGCAAAATAATTGATTGCATTTTGTTGTAGTCTACAGACAGCCGTCTTAGCCGCAATGCAGTCAGTTGGGTCGCCAACTGCGGGTCCAAGAGCAGACGAGCATTGGTGGCCCACATACCATAACATCCATCGACATATTTCTTCTGTCTCTTCAAATAATTCATTACATGGAATCAGCTTGCATTGTAATGCAATGCCAAATTCTTTTTTTAGGCCCAAATAGTTCATTGAAATTCGTGAAGAGGGAAGCCTCAGATGGTGGTTGTGTTGGTGCTTGACCATGTATCCAGTCTCTGGAAATGTTATCGGTCAAGGCAATCATTATAGTTTCTGAGCAAGTACGGCTACTCAGTCTTTGTTCGAGTCCGCAAAGTAAAGATAGCAAGGAAAACTTGTTTGTTGACAGTTCATAGTTTCCCTACCATCGTATTACGCCGGACAGTTGATTTAACGAAAACCCACAGGTGAGGGCCTGTGAATTCCTTTTCTATAGATACAGGGCTTCTATTTGCAGTTAACATTAGCTGATTACTGTTCCAATACCTGCCACCCGTACTCGTATCTAATAGGCCAACGATAACCGTCTTCTTGGACCTCCCCTCTCCCCCGATGTCTAAACATTTGACCACTGATTGTTCCCGAGGAGTATTAAAGCTTCAACGTTTTTGTACTGCGTGCTCTTAGGAGTATCGACAGTAATAATTATAACGTTCACATGAGACACTGTTCATAGTTTACTAGCTTAACGTCATCTGGCAATTAAAAATTACCTATTATCTCGCGATATTTCGGGTGTCTTCAACCGGCAATCGTAACCGGATTAGGGTAACCAGCTTGCCTACTGTCAACCACTGTTCTGTTATGGAAGAAAAGCCGGTGGTATTGAGACTAATGTAATCTCATTTAGCCATATGACAAACCGGGCATTTTGATTTTCTCAACTCCACTTTTCTTTGTGACAGTACGAGGTGATCAGTAGCACTCCTGGCGACTTGCGTAGCGCTGTTCAAACAGCGTAAATGCGCGGTGTTTCTCTATCAGTCTTATCCGACCCAAAATCTGATCGTCAGCCGCCATACACAAGGTACAGGAGAGTTAAGTTGTCTGGGGGAAATTTAACTGTCCTATAAGCTGACTATTGGCAAAAAACCTTTGTTTTACACTTAGTCGTCGTCCCTTTGGCGGATTTGAGTGTTGCTTCCCTTCAAACAACTACTCGACACTTGCCTCTAATCAGTGTCGCATGAGTCGGAGTTATGCCCCCTAAGGCCTATAAAACTGATACTAATCTGAGTCTCCTCATCTTAGTCATTATGTAACTATGTCCCTATCTAAGTAAGCTATGTTATGATAGAGAATTGGAGGTAAAAGCAAATGCTGATTTATTTTCTAACCTAGAATGTTTGTGTTCGGCGGATGGGTGCCTCTCGTAATGGACGACGTAAAAACGGCCGCGTCGGAGAAAGAGTGGAAGTGTACAAACACACT